GGGAGTGTCTTTTTCCTCTCTTCTCTATTTTTGTGCTTATTTTGGTTAGTTGGCATTGAGGACGATGCCAGCTTTCATTTGAGGGGGTAGCCCTATTTGGATATTTGGATGACTGTACATATGAAAGTATTTTATGCTTTCTTTCCTTTTTTTATCTTTGGTATGTATATAATTTTAACATTTCATTTCACTTTTCGTACTTTTTACTTTGGGTCTGTATATAAAAGTTTCGTTCTTATGTATATTCATTCTCCCTATTGTATATTCGTCTAAATCCCCTCGTACATATTCATTTTCCTTTCCGCATTTGTCCTTTCTTAGCTTCTTATTTTATGTTCGCAGCTTCTTGTTTTGAGCTTTTGCAATAAGCCTTTGGTTTTCTTAATGCCACGGTTCTTTCCAAAGGTGGAATTTGTGTGAACCGGGTGGCTCTTCCCGATGATGGATGGCATGACAACCTTCTTAAGGGTTTGAGTCTGTTTTTCTTTTTGATTTTTAGTAGTTAGTTGATAAGGGTGCCTCAAGCAAAGCTTCACTTGGGCCTAACACATTTGTCTTTCATCCCATGGTCAAAAACAAATCGTTGTGTGTAGGATGGTGAAAGTTGTGACCTTGAGACTCTTGTGTTGGCCGATAATCATCAAGTGGTTTTTCGGGACCATTGTGTTGTTCAAATCTTATCTAAGGTTGTTGTGGATCCCCGACTCCGTATCTTTAGCAATCCCAAAGCTTGTGTGGTGAGAATTTGAATTGCAAGTCCAAGTCCCAAGCCATTGGTCTAGAACTTGCCCTGAATGTTTGTCTAGGCGAAATCCTAAGTGTAATTTGACTTGAGACGTGATTATAGACTCTCCTTGATCCGAATGATATCTTGAACACTTCCATAGCCTACCAATAATAAAATCCCTAGTCAGCCCTTTTGAGCCTTAGACCTTTTTCTTTCAAGAACCACGCTACAAGCCTTTCCCCGTTCTAAAGATACCCTCTCTTGGCACCCGATCTTTCCCTAGCACATGGCAAAAGTATAAGTTTGGGGGGAGAGACGAGGATTGCAACAAAGTGGTAAAAGGTACAAAATGAAGAAAAGGAAAGGTAGTGAAAAAGAAGGAAATCAAAAAGACAAAAAGAATGTTCAATGTAGAAAAGAATGAAGGGATTCAATAAAAGCAAAGAATGAAAGGTGTGGAAAGTTTAGAAAGGAGAAAAGATTTGAAATGAACAAGAAAGAGTGACAGTGTGTCTCTCTAACCCCTTGGAAGAAGTGAAATGACTTAAAAAGTCAAGTGAATGTGTGCCAAAAATGAAGCAAAAGAAGTGCTAAAGGGAAGATGGAACCTACTTAGACCAAACATTTCCTACCTTAAACAAAAAGCCTTCATTATGTCTCCACAAAAGCCCTATATGATCTTGAGTTGAATGAAGCTTACACTAGTGGTGACTCACATAAGGGGCAAGCATATGGTACNGTGTTTCCTTTGAATACTTCATAAGCCACAAAAATACTGGAATGAATAGCAAAATAGCTATTGTTCTACAAATGAGTTCCACTAGAATCATCTTTGCCTTCACTTTCTTTATTAGTGTACCAGTTAAATCTTGAAGCATGAATAAATATGTATCTACTCCAATAACATGCTGATCTTCAACATAAACTGCTTGTGAGACAAAACAAAGGAGTATATTGCATTCTTTTACTAACACAAGCCTGGTACTGACCTGGGGTCCAAATGCCAAAGTCATCCATTCTTCTCGATTGCGTCCTTGTAACATATTCGTAGTGGTTGTGATGATCTTTGGAGCCTTAGATATAACTTTAGCTCTCCCCTGCTGGCCAAAATATGGGTTCCCAAGGTCAAAAGGCAGTAGACAAGCAAGGGGCTTTTCCAACTTTGACCCATTCTGGTGTATCCAAGCAATTCTAATATGTTGGGCAGACTTTCTATTGCAGGAGCGACCACAAATCATTTCCAAAATTCTAGCACTGGACACAAGGAGAACAAGAATCACATCATCTCCAAGCAGAAGAGCGGCATTTCTACCGATATGCTTATATGAAGCACTAACATAAGCAAAACGCAAGGGCCTGATTGCTCCTCTTCTAGTTGGGTAATTCACATCATCAGAAGTAGGTGCAAGCGCTAGCTTACTTGACTGGACAGACTTCATATATTCAAGAAGTATCTCACGGAAACTACTATAGACAGTAGTTGGTGGTACAAAAGACTCAAGCACAGTGAGCATGTTCCTGTAAATCATGTCATCAAATATCCCTCTCCCATTGTCCAACCAACTAACTTTGCCATACACACACCTATCCAGCAGAATAATCACTAAGAAAGCTAGAGAGAACTTACTAGCCTTAGGTCGCTGCCCAGTGTCAAACCAATTGGCTACATGGGCATTGATATCATGTTGGAACCACAACATATATTCAAACACTCCCCCATGCTTTGTCAAATGTTGCCTGCTTGGATTTGAGGGTGTAAAATGGTCCTCTAACCTCCTCTGAGGTGACTGCACCCAGATTAAAGGAATAGCACCCGAGCCAGGATCAAACGGAAAGTCTAATCCAAATTCATCCTGTGAAAACTGATGCAAATGAGACATCTCCGCTAAGCACTGGGCAAGCCCAAGTCGATGTCGAGGGCAAAGTATTTTAGGATGTTCAATAAGCAATTGATTCCAGCAACCATATCCCATATCAAATTCAATGGCAAGAATTGGAACTTTTGCATTGGATTTAACGCTCACTAGACCAATCGTACTGATTTCTTGAGGGAGCACCAGATTGGCGTGTCTAACAACCTCCGTGATGAGCGTCGTACCAGTTTCGTTTCTCTGAATAACTTTGTCAAACATTTTATCTGCGTCACTTTCAAAAATATTAGCTCCTTCTTCAGTGGATATCCATGGTGATATATCATCCAAAAAATTAATTCCTTTCCTATGAGGAGATTTGTCAAATATCTGAACTACAGTGTCGCTTGAATTTTTCTTCACCATCGCGCAGACTTGCTGGTCCTCCTCTAATTTGCCATCATTGAATCAGAGTTTATCTCTGTTGCCTCGAAAATCCCCTCATATTTCATAGGCAAAATCTCTATAAAAGCAGATTGTTCAATCTGTTTAGTCATGAGAAAATCTCGTTGAATACTTTTAGCAAACCATTAGGTATCGCTATGTCTAGCTTCTTCATCGTTGATTGGAGCATCTGATTGCGCCTCGACGATTACTTTGGGAAAGCAGCTATGTAACATTTTGTCGAAAATCTTAGGTGTGTGATTATCGTCCAAATTAGCTGCAAAGTGAGAGGTATGTGTACTTGCATCTTTGTCGTGGCACGCAGCTGTAACAGAATAAATTTCCTCAATTGCTTTGGGAAAGCCTTTTGTAGGCATTTCATCGAACATATGCATGACCTCTGAGTTTCCATCTTCAAAAATTGATTCAAACTCACAGAAGTTGGAAACATTACTCTTAGCAGTTAGAGGACTTATATAGGTCTCTGGTAGTGCTAATGTTTCTGAACAATTAGAGTAAAATTGGAAATCAGTTGAACACCTTCTTGAGGCAGGGGGAATCCATTTGCGATAATGCAGCTTCAGTTTCTCCGTAAAATTCTTCCAGTCGACGAATTGTTTGTTCCGATATAGCGACTGGAACCATGCTAAAGCTTCACCATCCAAGTAAGATGATGCTAAAGAGAGTTTAAATTCGTCGGCAATGGAGTAAAATTCAAAATACCTCTCCGCCTCTAAAACCCATGCCTCCGGATTTCCACCACGGAACCGTCTTAATTCCACTGAAATAGGGTTGTCACGAAGAGTAGGTATTGCCGGACTGCAAATTGTTGGATCCCGGGGGTGGAATGGACGTTGTAGCCTTTCTCCCCACTAGCTCCTTTAACAACAAACGAATATCGGCGAAATCCTTAGAAAGCGAATCCTTCATTTTCTGAATTGAATCACGAATTGAGTCATCGACGAAAGCCTCGAGTGCTTTTTGGTCCACCATTAGAGACCTCTAGATGAAAGCACCAATGTAACAAACGTGAAATAACCAATTCGCACACAAGGAAACTCACTTGTAGTATTTCCCTTACTACTAAACAGAATTACAAGGAATAGCAATTGAAATGACATAGAAAACTGATAAGAATAAAGAGGTGAGAAACAGAGACCGGTATAGAAGGAGATGAGGAAATCAGAAATACAGAGCAGAGATGAGAGAGAACATATTCAACATCACATTTCGCATAATTCCTAAAACTGCCGATGACACCCTTTTATCTCCTTTGTCACGTACTCCCTACTCAACCTGGATCCCAAGCAAATGTATCGTCGGGCTGTCTAATTCCCTGGCCATATAGTGGTTTAGCCCCAGGCCCAATAGCTTGGCCAACCTTTGTCCAAATAACTGGCCCATAAGCATTATCTAACTTATCCATGTTCACAACACTGTTTCTGGATGCAGCTTTAGTGAGAAAGAAAAAAAAGAGTTTTCTCCGTAGAGCTTGATAAGCATGTTAGAGGATTATATGAAGAGTGGTTTAAGAAGTTTGATACTTTGTTTGGGTCTTTCCTCTATATCTAGCTTTTAAGGAACACTATATCGTGGTGTTGAGTACTACTCTCTCTCCCCCCCTCTCTCTGTAAGTAAATCTTGATTCTTTTAAAGAGGATAAAGACGTAAATGCTTAATAAAAATAAAGTCATACCCGATATACAAAAGGATGATTTTAGAACAAATCTTGCTTCGTGGTAGTCACATGCACTGCGATTTACCCAGGTACTCAGATTCACGTTCTAAATGCACTACACGAGCAGCCATGGAATAATATGAAATGACAAATGTATATTGTATAGTGCAGTAGTGCTCATATCTTGCTATTCTGGGAATTGGGATGTATTGTCCACTGGCATTATCAACATTGTTAAGGCCTTAAGCAAAGCTAAAATGTTTGAAGTTATGAAGTTGTTGTTGTTCTGCTTTATACATTCATGGTGATTATATTTGAAAACAAGGTCTTTGAAGGAAAGGTATTTATGGTCTCCAAGCTGAACAAGAAAATCTAAGAACGGTGGTGGAAATGGTTCCATAATTAAGTGTTGCTTCCTTTTCCTGTGGATATCTTTTATGCCGATTTAGTTGTTACTAAAGACTTGTTAAGATGTTGGTGGTACTATTCTAGTGATACCTATATTCTAGAGATACCACAATATGTTTGTTAATTTTAATGAGTTTTACTTTTATTTTGCTGGGCAGATTATTGTTGAAAAACTTAAGACTGGTGTTATAAGGGGTGACAATGATCCTGATTTTGTTGATGTTGCTCTGGACTTGGATTCTGGTCTTGGGATCTTTGATGCCTTCTTTGCTAGTTTTTCCATGATCCTTGTCAGTGAGGTTAGTGGCTCAACTTTTATGTTCTTTTATTAAACTTGTTTGATGTGTGTGTTTTTGTTGATACTGCGATCGCTTTGCGGCTTATTTTGGGGAGCTCTTTCCACCATGAAAGAACTTTTAGACTAAATGCTGCTTGTGAGTGTTACTTTCACCATGTAATTTTGTCGTTTGTATGAGAAAGAGAAAATGACAATGATACGGTTACTCACGAAACATGCTTAACCGAGAGAACTAGATGGTTGATTATATTCAATGAATGTATTTGTTTCTCAATCCAAATGCAGTTTGGCAATGAAATATTCATTTTGGCAGTACCTTTCTCGAGATATTGCTTTATTCGTTGATAAATATTTTATGGATGATTATGCTGCTAGATTGGTGATGAGACATTCATAATAGCAGCTCTGATGGCAATGCGTCACCCGAAGTCAATTGTTTTGTCTGGTGCACTCAGTGCCTTGTTTGTTATGACAGTAAGTGATTGAATCTCCTTCTTAACTGTATTAGCTCTTAGAAGCAGCGTTTTCTCTCTGTTTCCTTTTCTATGTTCAGTCATAGCACCTACACTGACAGTGTTCTGTTCGTTTATATGAATGTTTTATACGGTATTGAACTCTTCTTTATTCATCTACTAGGAAGTCATATTGTTGGAGGTAGTTCTAACGTTATGCTTTCTCTTTCATGTAAGTAGATACTGTCTACTGGACTTGGTAGAATTGTGCCAAATTTGATATCAAGGAAGCATACTAACAGTGCAGCTACAGGTTATTCATTTTACATCTTATAACTTGCTTCTGTTGTGCTATAATTCCCATACCTAAGATGTGATTCTTGTCGGCTGCAAAAATGTCTAATCAAATTTGTAATGTTCTTTCATTGTTCTAAACTTCTATTGTTATTTTAAAAAAATTACCATACTGACCCTTTTTTCCCTTCAGGTTCTTCAATATTGGTTGTCTAGATATCAATAAGATCTGTTTTGACTCATAAGTCAAGGACCTTGAAATGTTTGCCCTTTGTGCTGATTGAACTAGTTTAGAACTAGTCCTTGTTTCTATGTACCATAAAGTAGATAATTATTTTTACCTGGAATGCTATACTACTCTATCGTTCGTTATTCCTTTTTGTGATGCTATTTCGTTTTCTTATTTTTTTTTCTTCTTTTTGTTTGTGACTCTATCCTCTTACGTATTTTCCCAATCTCTTTTAAGATGAGGCTGATACTCTCCATTCTATACTTCATTTTACCTATAGTCCTATACTAGCAATTTGTTCTATGAGATAATTAGGATGTTTTTATTTTTATTTTATTGCAGTTCTTTATGCCTTTTTTGGGCTTCGGCTTCTCTATATTGCATGGAGGTCGTCAGATTCAAAAGCTTCCCAGAAAAAGGAAATAGAGGAGGTATGTGTACCTTAGCAAGAATTGGAAGAAAATTGTAGTTACTATCTTTGCACATGCACAAATATTCAACTTGAGCTTTATTTTGAGATTCTAATTGCACAATGTGGAGATTTCTCAATGAAGTTTCATTTTCTCTATTCAAAGGCTAGTCAATTCTTTGTTTTATTTTTTAGATTTCACAGGACAAAGAGGTCCGGTTAAGATCCTGCCTTGCGATTAAGGGGTCCGAACCCTGGATCCGTTAAAAGAACAAGGGGAGGCTTAGTCGGAGGCTGAGCCTCTAACTCTTAGGAGAGGACAGGGTCGGTCCATCACCAAAAAAAATTCATTCCTCAAAATAACCATATGCAATTTACTTCTCAAAATGTCAGGTTGAAGAAAAACTTGAAACTGGACAGGGGAAAGCAGCAGTCAGACGTTTCTTTTCCAGATTTTGTACGCCTATATATTTGGAGGTATGTCTGTACATTTGAGCTATTTGATGCTTTTAAAGGGTTGTCCTGTTATATTTGTATTTGACCCATTGGGTGAAACCCTCATGCAAGAAGGAAGTCAGGTGGAGATGGGGTGTCCTTTCTCCAGGTGAATGATATTGTTTTTTCGTTCTGTAACTTGAATGATAAGTGAAATAAAAAGGGCAACATTAATTTCAATGGTTGCTGTAAAAAAGCATGAAGAACGGAGCCTTCCTCAAGGCCGTGTTCCATAAGTGGTAGGAAAAATTAAAGGAAAATCAAATTTGTCAGATTTCCCTTGCTAGGAATGCTTTTTGCTGATTGTGACTAATACTTGTTTTCTCACCCCGTCTTCTGGTTTGAGCATGTGGAAGTAAAAAAATTGCTGAGACAGGATAGGGAAATTATAGAATTTTTTATCTAGACAGATTTAATAGTGGTCAGAAGAGAGTTCTCAAATGCACTCAAAGTTTCCTGTAAACTCTTCTCCTTCCACCTAAAACTTCCCCTCAACTTCCCCTCATTCTCATTCTAACTTTACCAAGCCATACACTAGATACCCATCCCAAAGGATGCAAAGTGCATAAAAACAGTTGGGGAGTACTTAATTGGTACTTTGGGGTCAATAGAGTCTCTTACATCCAAAAAGTGGAGAATGAAACAGCTAATATATCTTCTCCGCTCCTTCTCCAAAGAAAAATATGTATCTTCTCCACCTTTACTTTGCTTCCTCTCTTACCACTTAAATGACCTGAACGTTCCTTTCATGTTGATTTTGCTGCTCCTTGAGTTATATCAAATACAGCATTATGAGGTTATGACATCTTAAGTTAATTACGATCTCAAATTTATGACAGCTGCAAAATAACTAATTTATGCCTACCCGTGTGTTGTCTGTGCAGTCCTTTATCTTGACCTTTCTAGCAGAGTGGGGAGACCGTAGCCAGATAGCAACAATTGCTGTAAGATATTTTCAATTCCTTTTCTTTGTTGTGGCCCATAAAAAGCCAGATGCTATGTTGGTTGTCATGTGCTTCTGAATGTCTTGGCTTTCAAGTGTTTCTTCCACCTCCTTGTTTTTGCATTTGTGTGTTTGTGCTTCTTGGGGTATTTGATTGATGACACGAGGAAAAGAATTAGGCACTCTGTTTTGTTTATAACTTTTCAAATTCAAAAGCTGAACATAGTGATCCTGGTCTGGCATCAGTTGAATGGGATACCCACTTAACTGGCACCCGATTGTGCTCAATCGTCAATTGGGTAAGCTAGTTTTTCAATGTAATATAGGTTGTATCTACTAGATTTGTTTCTCTAAAATTTGATGCATTATATTGCAAGTACAACATTTTACAACTGAACCACCATGTGAGGTTACTGGATTCTGAAATGACAATCATATTCGATGCGTTTATATTAGTCTCTGTCCCACTCCCAAATAGGTAAGCAATTCCTCATTCAATAATTAGAGAAAGTCTCTTGGTTTTATTCTACTTGTAAGTTCTGTAACACATTTCCATGTGCTATGAAATATGATAGTTATTAGTATTTCCAGACTTTAATGTACACAAATTTTTCGTTCAGTCATGCTAAGCTTTATGTGGCTATCTCCTTTGCCGAGTACGTTGTGCGATAATACTGTGAAAAGGCTCAATAAACTGCTTACAGATTTCGGGGTTTTAATAGAAGTTCGAGGACGGTGTTTCACCGATTATATGCAATTCATTTTGCAGCTAGCTACACACAAAAATGCAATTGGAGTTGCTGTCGGGGCTATAATAGGACACACTATATGTACTTCAGTGGCAGTGGTGGGTGGAAGTATGCTTGCATCCAGGATCTCACAGCGGACAGTAGCTACGGTTGGGGGCCTTCTTTTCCTTGGGTTTTCCTTGTCATCATATTTCTATCCACCTCTATAATTCCCACTTCATAGTTTAAGCTAATTCATTAGGGATGGGTTTGCCCGAATTGTGGGCTTAAAAGGAAAAACAAATTTTTTCAACAGGTATTTCACCTTATTTTTGTGTAAATGTAAACTGTAAACATGCTGAATATTCGTATGAATCCGGAAACATTGCTACAAAAGTGGCTGTAACTTTATGCCTATCTTTTAGAGATAAGTGTGGAGCGAGATAACAGTGATACATAATAAAAAGTTATAGCCTGTTTGGCCAAGCTTTTTTCTTGGCCAAAAGTGTTTTTTTTGTTTGTCAAAAGTGCTTTTTTTGTCAAAGTTAAAGTTGTTTGGCCAAGCTTTTTGAAGCAAAAAAAAGTGCTTTTGAGTAGAAGCAGAAGCAGTTTTTGAGAAGCAGAAAAAGGTAGCTTCTCCCCAGAAGCACTTTTTTGAAAATTACTTTTGAGAAAAATACACTTAGAAACACTTTTTAAAAGCTTGGCCAAACACTAATTGCTGCTCAAAAGTGTTTTTCAAATTGATTAGCCAAACACAAATTGATTTTCACCAAAAGTGCTCTTTTGAAAAAAATATTTCTCAAAATAAGCAGATTTTAGAAGTTTGGCCAAACATGCCATTATTCTCATCATCTCAATAAGCTTAGTCTGCTAGGATTGTCCTCTGAAAAGAAGTAGACATTTATGGTGTGTTTGGTATGAAGGAAAATATTTTCCGAAAATATTTTCTAATTTTTCCATGTTCGGTTGGCTTAAATATTTTGGAAAACATTTTCTCCATGAACTCATTTTCCTCCAATTGGAAGAAAATGTTTTTGCTATCAAAAGAAGAGAAAATATTTTCCAAATCTCTTTTTCAACCTTCCCAACCCTATTTTCCATCCCCACCAACCCACCCCTACCTACCCACTCCTACCCTCAACCCACCCACCCCTACCCCACCCCACCCCCACCTTTACCTCGCACCCACCCTCACCTCCACCCCCACCCCTAAATAGAAATATTATTAATAGTACTTTCTTTTCATGTTATGATAGAGTACTTTTTTTTTTCTATTTCAATAAATGAGTATTTTCTTTTCATGATATAAAAAAGGATTTTATTCATTTTAACAAAAAAAAAGTACTTTCTTTTCATGATATGAAAAAAATATTTCCTTTCGTTTCAACAAAATAATATAGTAAAAAGTATTTTCTTTCATTTCAATAAAATGAAGTAGTAAAAAGTATTTACTTTTATTTCAACAAAAATAGTATTTTCTTTCATTTCAACAAAATGTATCTTCTTCAACAAAATGAGTATTTTCTTTAGTTTTAACAAAATGGTACTTTATTTTCATGTTGTACTAAGAGACTTTATTTTTTTTAGTTATGGAGCGCAAATTGCAACGTTGTTTTTGCGCAAAAAAAAAAAAAAACAACA